TCTGTCCCTCTCCCACTCACATTCTCTTGCCCCCTCAAAATAAATAAAGTTAAAAAAACAAAAAATATCTCCAATTGAGAAAATGAAACAATGCATGAGATCTTTATTATTCATATTCTAAAATGTCAAACTGATATAAAAACATAGGCCATTTAATTAAAATCTCATAAATCATAGGTCAAAGCCTAACTCAAGAATTTTGCTTTTATAACTCTTAGTAATAGGTCATCAGCCTCAGTTTACACACTTCAATAGTAGGAAATGCCTTTTTATCAAGGTAGTTCTTTCCATTCCTCTCCTGAATCTAAAGGATTTAACTGGAATCTGTCTCCCTGCAACTTCATTCTGTTGGTCTCAATTCTACTCTCTGGAGTCTCACAGAATGAGCAAAATATACCTCAATGAAAACCACTTTGCCTCTACTAGCCAGTCTTTCTATCTTTGTGCATATTTGTGTCTCCTTGCACTTTTCTCTTCTTTGTGGGTATGTCAGTCCCTTCTTTAAGCATCTTTTTGAGTGTCTTTCCCTTTCTTTTACCTAATCTAGTTACACCACAGGCATATTGCATGTTCATAGATATTGCATGTTCAGTCCCAGACCACTACAATTAGTCAAACAATGCAATAAAGCAAGTCAAATGAATGTTTTTGTTTCCTGGTGCATATAACAGTTATATTTATACTGCACTATAGTCTGTCAAGTGTGCAATAATATGTCTAAAAAAATGTACATACCTTAAATTAAAAGTACTTTGTTGTTCCAAAATGCTAACCATCATCCGAACTTTCTGCAAGTTGTAATCTTTTTTGCTGATGGAGGGTCTTGCCTAGATATTGATGGTTGCTGACTGGTTAGTGGTGGGTGGTGGGTGGTGGCTGCTGAAGGTTGGGGTGGCTGTAGCAATTTCTTAAAATATGACAACAATGACATTTGCCACATCAATTGACTCTTCCTTTCACAAATGATTTTCTGTAGCATGTGATGTTGTATGATAGCATTTTGCCCACAGAACTTCTTTCAAAGTTGGAGTCAACTCTCTCAAACCCCACTGCTCTTCCTCAACTAAGT